CCCATTGATGATTGTTTATGTGGAATTTGAAATATCTTCTGATAGAATTCCAAATTCAAATTAATAGAGCTTTAGAGTCCTTTCATTAGAAGCAAAAAATGTGTGCACTTTCATTATATTATTATTTTATTGTACATTTTTGAAAATATTATTGTGCTCTTTTTTAAGTAACTTTTGTGTTCTTTAAATATTAGTATTATAATTTTGTTATATATTTTTGTGCTCTCACAATATAATTATTGTATTCTTCATATCAATTTGTTTGAATTTCTTTCTTTTTCTGTTATTTTTTCTTCTACTGTAATTTTCATCCTCTTTCCGCAGCAATTTTGTTTCATTTTCTTTGTTGCAAACTTAATTGTCGTAATTTCATTATTATCATTTTTTACAATTTATCAGTAGTAACATATGTATATAAAATATTAAACAATATGAAATTAATTACAAAAAATGAAGAAAAAAAAAATCTAATCAAGAGAAAGTTAGATGAGTTGGCTGGTTCTATTTGAAACAGATGCTTGTGCTCCATTCTTTTTTTACTATTTTATTATGTTATTTTAATATTATTATTGTGCTCTTATGAAATAATTTTTGTATTTTTTAAATATTATTTATTGTACTTTTGTGCTATGTGATATAATCATTGTATTTGTTATATCAATTTTTCAAATTTTTTTCTCCTTTAATTTTTTATTTTTTTTATTAGTATGAATCCAAATCGGTTTTTGATGTATAATTGCACTATATGATTTATTTTTTTTTAATTTTGTGGTCGTTTTCGCATCCATTTATGAAGATGACATAATATACAAAAGTTACGTTTATATATATTGTATATGCGTCGCAATTTAGTGTGCTATTTTGAAATTTTGATTGTGTTTTTCTAAAGTGATTTTTATGATTTTTTATTATTATAATTGTTAGATATATTTTGGCTCGACCCAATACCAAGCCCAACCCGCAACCGAAAACCCTTTAACCCGATCTGACCCGACCCGACCCGCACTTTATAACTCCCCTTTCCACACCCCCTTCTCATGAGATACACTGTATTGCGTGATTTGGCTAGTCTGGGTTTTGTTCTCTAGTTCATCTTCTTAGCGTTCTTCTCAGTAAGTTTGGAGGTTTTCTTCTTCGCTGAAATTGCAGTCGCTCTAGTTCAATTCCTTCGGTAAGTTGTTCATCTGGGTGTTCTTTGTGAGGTTTTGGGGGAAATTGGTCGATTAGAGTTTAGGGTTGATCGAGTCCGTTGGTTTGGAGTATTGTTTGGAGACGGTTGTGTTAGTCCCTAAGTGTGAGTCATTAGGTTGTAGACTGAGCCGTAAGAATAGTTTTCCCTATAATTTGTCGAGTCACTTGGAAATCGCAGGAAGAGAAGTCGCCGGAGCTGCGAAGCGTGGCTGGGTGTGTTCGCCGGAAGAAGGTCGAAAGAGGGAAGTTCAAATTCTGCCTTCATATCTTTTTGCCTAATCTTGGATTCTGTTTATTTGTGTTCTTAAATTTGATTTACAGAAAGCTATATTGCTTCTTTTACTGTCAATTTTGTCGGACACATTCTAGTTGATGGTTTTATTACTTGACAGATTATATATATAAAAACTAACAATAATTTTACTCTTTCATGATTAATATAACTCTTACTTCGTGATATCATTATTTTATTTTCGTGATATAACTATTGTGCTCCTATTATATAGTTATTGTACCTTTTTTTTTAGGTTTGATGTTTATTGCGATGTCAAATAGTATGAATTTGTATATCATTAAATCATAGCAATCAAAATTCCAAAATTTCATTAACATACACACGTCCACCACCTTCTTAGTTTATTGATTTTACTAAATATTCTTTTTCAGTTTCAATTGAGCTGCATGTCCTCATTTTTCCAGTTTCAATTGTGTTTTACTATGTAGCTCCTGCTTCTGCTGCTGCTATTAATTAAGATTGACTGCAAGATTTATTAATTTGGTTAGTTAATTATATATTTTGGTTTGACAATTGAATTTTTCATTCGAAAGTAGATGTGTACACTCTCATTCTTATTTTTATTTTATTGTGCTATTTTGAAATTTTTACTGTACTTTTTTTTAATTAATTTTTATACTTTTTAAATATTATTGTTGTACTATTTTATAGTCAAGATTGTGCATTCTTGATATAATTATTACATTTTTTTAAAAAATATCATTATTAATATACATTTAATTATTCAAACATATTTTAATCATAACCCTTCCCATCTAAATAATGTGTTTGTTTGGGAGACTTTTCCAAACTTCCACTCTTCATCAAAAATTTTTCACCAAAAAATATTAAATCAAATATCTATTTTTTATTTTTTATATTATATTAAAAATCACTTTTATATTCAAAACATCGCATCAACACCTATTTTTATCACATCATATAACTATTTCAAATTCAAATATTTTACTATTCAAATCTCAACTCAAAATCCAAAACCCCAAACAAACACAAAGAGTTTGCTTGGTTCAAATAATCTTTTTTCTAAGATTTTACTAATAATTAAATTTTTTCCTTTCAAAATATCAAATTAAATATCTATTTTTTTATTTTTTATATTATACTAAAATTAATTTATATTTAAAATTTTACACATCAATACTTATTTATATCACATTATATTTAAAATTTTACCTCAATATTTATTTATATCACATTATATAATTATTCAAATATTATTTTTTTTTACTTATCAAAGTCTAAATTCAAAATTCAAACTTTCGGATCAGAAGAAGCAGCCCCAGTGATTGAACAGTGTTGGCGGTGTGCCACAATTTTTTTAGCTAAGAGATAATTGTGAAAAGAATTTAAAAGTAAGCAAGAAATTATTGATCAAAAAAGTAGTCAACAAAAGGTTATTCCCATGGCATCCACGACCGGGAATAACACAATTTGACTTGAAAAAAGTGTAATAATACTAATAATATACCTCATTCATCCAATATAATTTGTCTTTTTTTTTTAAATATAATTATACACTTTAATTACATTGTAAACTTTATATTTTATAATTTTTTTAATTTTAAATTAAAGTATTTAGTTATCTTAATCTTAATTTATAATAATTTTTACTATACAATAATTATTTTTACTAATATACTTTTTAATTACTCACTGATCATACTTTATCTAAATTTCCGTACCTATGGTAACACGCCTAAATTAGCTGGCACGGATGGAGTAATTCTCTAATGATATTTGGAAAGCAATACACAAAAAGACAAATAAATATTGGGGTATTTGTGTGAGTATGTTTGATTGATTGATGTAACTAATTTAAATGTCGTCCAATTCTTGGCGGGCTGCTTAAGCTTTTCTACAATTTATGTATGTGAACTATTAACCCTAATTACTATTGATTGCGTTACTACACTTCACCCTGTAAGATTGCGACCGAGTAGGTTAGTTAATAATGCTCGGAGGCCAGAGCATGGAACAAAATGGAATAAATTGATGCAGAATTCGGTGAGTTCCGGGAACAAAGATAATGTTCAAAGAAATCTAAAACAAAATAAGTCACGGAAAAATAGAGGTATACATTATTGTGCTATTAGTCATTCAATGTATCAATAGCGGCGGTTAAAATATATTAAAATATCACCTAAATATTAAAAAATTACGGAAATTTATAATATATTTTGATGGAATGACTCTCTTAGGTACGTTGTGCCTCCACTACGTCCGTTTTACGTAACTGAACAACAGCAGGGGATACTTTAGTTTTATTTTAATTACCAAATTCAATAAGTGTGCAGATGTTCAGTAGGAGAAAAATATATATATATATATATACAAATTATTTATTTATTTGCATGATTTTAAATTTTATTATTTTGTAAAAAGTTACATAAATATTTTCTAAAAAATTGAATTTATTACAAACTTGAATAGGTGGCTTTGAAAAATCATAATTGAAACTAATTTTATAGTATAAGATAGCGAGCATCATATCATATCAAATTTTACAAGTTTTGACTTGCCTATTGATAATTAAATCTAATTTCTCGTTAAAATAGGTAACGTTCAAAAATTGTAGAGAATTAATTCATGCTCCAAATCAAATCAAATCTACTTATTTTTCTCATTATTTATTTTTTCATTATTTTAATATAAAAAATCATATAAAATAATTATCATGCCATATGTTGGAGAAAAAAAAAAATTGTTACACAATGTTCATAGACATTATAATGGTATATTGCTGTAAACAACATACGTTATAACGGCGTATATTATTTCCTTCTCCAGATAACGATTATTAAATCAATGCATCATTTTCGAATTCCAACATAAATATATTCAAAGGTTTGCCATAGAATACAGAAGAAGAAATTTTTTTAAAGAAAAATGATCCTCAACATGTGCAAATATCCATTATTGTTGCAATAAAATGAGGTATAAAAGAGACAATAAAGTTGATCTTAATAATAAACCATATTGCTCGGACGATATTGTTGCTCCATTATATAGTGGTGATGAAAATAAGATACGAAACACATGTTAAGTATACAACGAGACTAAAATTATAATTCAACCAAGAAACTCAAAATACACCATCACCGAATATGTGGACAAACATATATTAAGTATTTAATTTGATATATTTGTTTGTAGGTTTTGGATATGTTTTTTCTATTAATTGCATGCTATTAGTGGATTAAGAGTTAACCCAATATACACTCACAAAAAAAGCCAAAAAAAAAAAAGTAACGGCAGATCCTATATCATTAAAATATATAAATTAAAAAGTATTTTCATTCCATATTTTTGTCTGTTTCAAAATAAAATTATTATTTTATTATTTGATAACTGTAATACATACTTAATTATAAATACGATTTCTACAGTATTACTATATTACACAAATATCATTATTTTATATTATTTTGATTTTTTATTATTTTGAAGTGTTCCATCTTTCAATTGAGATGGTTAGTTCAAAAAAAAAAAAAAGAAGCAAAAACAGCAAAGTCTATTGACATAAGGAATTATCACAAAATGTTGTAATGAATCATCATCATCCTTGTAGTCATTTTGGGATGTGTCCTTCATCAGCTTCTTCGAAGCTATTCACACATTACACAACTTTCTTGGAACCAAATCTTCAACTAATAACTATGAATCAACAAAATTTTCGAATCCGCCAAACAAATGGGAGGAAAAAGAAGACAACAATCGGTACTAAGTACAACAAAGATCCTCGACAATTAAAAGCTTCTTATTTCCTTTTAATGGCGAACCAATCAATAATATAACTTACCTGCATTTTTCTGTCGCCAAAATGGCGCGGTTTAAGGTTTTTCGATCAGTCCTCGTGCTCTTCGTCATCTTCAGAATCTGTGCAAAATAAATTAACAAGCCATTGTTATGGTTCTCCGAGGATTCGTAAGCTTAAACATGAAATCGAGTGTTATGTATGCATTATAGCTTTGCAGTTTCACTTACCAGATCTCACGTCTTCGCTGACACGGCCCCTCGACTGGATTTGCTTGACGAGCATTCGGTACATCAACATCCACCAGTAAATATGGAGTACGAGCAACGAGAAGAGAAGGAAATTGAAAATGTAGTAATAGATAGGTCCATCGACTTTGTGTTTCTCCTTGTCCAATGTCTGGATTACTTCGTAGCTGCATTTGTCGAAGGCAATCAAACAATCGATCTTCGTAAGAAAAATAGCGAATAGCAATTGTAACACGAAAAAATGGGAAAGGAATCCACGGCAGACCTTGTGCTGTATAAAATCCAGAATGGATAATATACGAGACGAAGCACGACCCAGGAGAGCACGAAAAGAACAAACGAGACGCTCGCGACCGTCTCCGCGCCGCTGTATTTGGACATCTTCCCGACCTCAAGAAACACGTCGCTGGCGTCATGAAGTGCTAAAACAACAGAGCCGGCGCGTGCGAATCTGCAGATGTGTCGAAGATTTTTTAGAATCGCTTGAAATAATGCTAGTTTCCGAATGGAAAATTTTTGTAAAAGACAGCTAAAGAAAATGACGGCTGCAATCTAACATTCTTCGATAATCCACCTGAATACATAAGATAACACAATAAGAATGAACGTTGCGACATGATGACCCATCGACACTCCAAAGTCGGCACGCCTCGTTTCCCAAAATATCAGGGCGAATATGGAGTATGCGTAGAATCCAGCCGCGTACATGTACAGGCCCTTCAATTTCAGCCTAAATATCGAAATAAAGTGAGAGGTACGCGAAAAGCATTGATCAGCATCGAATATTAAGGATCAATCAGACGAACATTCATATCTATCTATAAACAAACAAACGCCGAGAAATCTTACTTGTAAGTTTGATCGGGCCAGACCTGGTTGCCCGGCCCTGTCCAGAAGTATTTAGTCTTTGTGAACCATGGTTCATCATATGTCACGGCAAGCGCCAAGATCTCAGCAGAAAGGTAATATATACATTTCCACGCCGACTCTTTAAACTTTCGCAACTTCTTCTTTTGCTCGTCTGTCTCATTTGCGCCGACTTGCACTCCCTTCCCAAAAATTAATCTCCTTCCAAGTTTCTGCAACATATGCAATAGATCCAATCTAGATTGAGCCAACAGTTAGGCTAAATTTAAATGGTTTTCAATGATCAAGAACGATTAGACACGCCGATGAAATGTGCAAATTAATTCACCATTACAGCCTCAATGGAGCTATTCACAATGTGCAACAATTTCGACAAAACATAGCATTAAAAGGACTTGAGAAACACATTCATTCCATAGGTGAAGAACTTTTAATTAGCTAAAAGTTTTCACATATCGATTTTCTATTCAAAACATCACATCCAAAATGTATTTACATCGAATCAAACCCCAAACCCCAAACCCCTGTTTTATATTCAAATGGCAGAAGCAACATGATATGATTCCTCATGTTCCATTGTTTCTCCTAACATTAAAACATAAACAATTAACTTCCATTGAATCAAAATCAACGCAAACAACATCAGAAACCAGATTTAGAACATCACATGTTAAAGGATCTTCTTCAAAAATCAAAACTAGCATTAGCCTCAATCAAACAAACAATGCGTGCAGAAGAAACCAAACAGCAATCAACGAACATTAAAACGGATCAATCACCAGACAACGACGAATGACCAAAAAAAAAAAAACAAAACATACAAATAGCTAATCCGAAGATTCTCAGATTCAAGGAGACAATACCTGGAAGACGAATCTGTCGAGCAAAAATCTAACCGTGGGAAAAAACAGCGCGAAGAAAGGCAGAGCAACGAAATCCCCATACTGCGGATACGATTCTCGCTCCAACTCCGTTGAATCCAACAATCCTCGAAAACCCATCTCGAAGAAAAATTTATAAGAATATCATCAACTTTATAACTAACCTCTGCAAAATTTACACCAAATGAAGGCGTGGAATCATCAATTGGTTGAATTCGGAAGAAGATTCGGTGAATTCAATGCTTCCTTGTTTTTCCCCCCTTTTTTCTATTTTCTTTACGAAGATATAAATTTGGTAAATGCTAAATTGATGATTGGAACATTGATGACGCGTCGAGGAGAGATATACGTATACCCGATGGGTTTTTGGATCCTTAATTGGTTGTTAATGGCGTCAATTAGCCCTAGCCCGGGCGACAGTATTACAAGAATGCCCCTCCATGTGGGATGTGGAGCAGTGACGCCATTGACCTTTGAAAAGCACGGCCAATCAGGTTTGGGAAAAGTTTCCAACTTTGATGAGAAGGACGGCACAAGAAAATTCCAGATATATATATATATATATGTATATGTATGTATATGTATGCGTAGAAGAAGTGTGTAGGGTGTGTAATTTTTACTTGCATTTAAGAGAGCATTGAATGCAACTTAGGATTGGACCAAATTTCATAGGGATGAGAAACTGTGTGAGACTAAAATGAAAAATTCAGATGTCGTCGTTAGTTACTAAGGGACAGGACTTTTAGGACACATTACATTAGGTTTGAATGATTTTTATGGAACATGCGGTACGATTGCAAAAGGAAACAATTATTAATTATATCTAAGTATTATTGTCGGCAAAAGATGACCTAGCAGTAGTATGAAGTTGACTCGTGATCACGAGGCCTCATGGAACCTAATTTGTGAAGTATTAGGTTGGATCGGAGCTTTATATACAACACCGCACTTTAGGATAGCAAAGGTAGTGTTCAGTTTGTGTTATTAGATATATATATATATATATTTTATATTAAGTATAAATATAATATATAACTAAAATATAAAAAATAATATTTATTTTAAATTGTTAAGTTTTTAATAAATAAAATATATATATTATACTCCCTCAGTTCGGCTCTAAAATCTCATTTGTCATTTTACTAAACATTAAAAATATCTTTATATTTTACAATTTTTTGCACAAATATTATTTTAATAATATTATAAGACAAAAATATTTGTCATTTCTCCTTGATTTATATAATAATTAATATTAAAAAATCTAACACACAAAAATACTCACTCAAATTATCTAACAAAACAAATACACCTCAGATTTGATTGGTTTAAACTTTAATTTTTTATTTTAGTTTTAATTTAAATAATATTTTTAATATGATATTTACTAGATAAAATATTAAAATAAAATATTTTATTAAAAATTATGCAAATTACATAACCGTAATTAAATTTAAATCTAAAACCAAACTCTTGGGATCTTATATTTTGTCTTATGTTTTTATTATAACCTTACTATCTTCGATAAAAATCTTTATATTTTTATATAGAATATTATATTCAACAACTATTTCACCTAAAAATAATAAATGAAAAAGAAAACCAAAAACAAACAATACACCCTCAATGCAAATCCTCGTTTCAAGAATTGTATATCAATAATTATATATTGAAAAAGTCACATATTGGGAAAACATATAGTACAAAAATAAAACCGTACATTGCAACAAACTTGGAAAACAAACAAAACTTTCTTTCTACCTTTTATTAATGAACTAGATGCAAAGGATTGTTAATGGAAAAGGGTCATGTATAGAGAGTGTTTTGGGACAATTTGAAGGTAAAATAGGTGAGTGGTCCTATCTCCTAAAAAGTTACAAAAAGATCAAGGCTACTTATTTCAATAGATTTTTTTAGTGTAATCTATGAAGGGTTGCTTAACAAATGATATGTTCAAATAAAATGAGAATAATAGGTATTATATCCAACTTTCTAAAAGTTGGTAATAAATAATAATAATAATAATAAAAAAAAAAAAAAACCCACCTGCCCAAATGAAAACATATATAAAAACCAGTTGTTAATCCAAGAAGTGGTCATGATCTTGAAAAAACAGTTACAGATTGATTTCATGGTGGACCAAGCCCACTAAAATCTGCCATCATCATAAAAAGCACATCTTGAATTAAATGCAGAAAATTCCTGTGACTACAAATGCCTACTAATTAAAGACTTGGACAAGAAATGGGACTGAATCTATAGGGCAGAAAGTAATGATATCCATAGGTTGTAAAATGAGATTGATTACTAGGATTTCAGACAGCTACACCATCAGACCAGACCAGACCAGACCAGACAGACCACTCATTTATGTCCTAACCTGCAAACACTACCATTAATAATAAAGACATACATAAATCTATTCTTGCTGCTAAATTATCATCAAGAATCTTTTGTGTGTGTGTGTGTGTGTTAATCCAAAGGGGTCTTGTTGTTAAGCTCTTCTTCCTACAAAAGAAACACAAAACATGGATTTCCATTGACTGTCCTGAAAAAAAAGGAGATGAAATAGCAGAAATAAGCTTATTGTCCTGAACCAAAATCTGAGCAAAATTAATTAAGAAGCTGACAAGGGGTTGTACAGTTCCACGTGAAGGTGCTGATAAAATAACATGCACATGAAGCAGCAGCAGCAGCAAAGTGTCAACATCTCCCAACACAATGCCTGCCTAGCTGCCATAATTAAGCCCTCTACAAGCACACACAGATGCAGGCCAACAGGATGTTGAATCAAAATCCCCCAGCTAAGGGAGTTTTGTCTCATTGATTGGGAAAGAAAAAAGAGAAAGAATTTTCCAGTTGAAAAGTCAGTGTGGGAGGGAAAGGAAATCCCAACCCAGGCAAGGCAAAGGGTGAGAGAGAGTGAAAGTGAGTGTGAGGTGAGGGTGGGGGGGGGGGGGGGGGGGGGGGGGCGGGGCTATTTTGTCCCAAACACAAACAGAGAATAAGCCAAGGGAAGAAAACTCTAGCAGGGAACCATGGTGGAAATAGGAAAGGCAACAGACCAAAGTTTGCAATCAGGCCACCAGACAGTCTAACATCTTCTACAAGAATGGACAGCAATCTTTGCAAACAGGTTAACATCCAAGAATGTTGTAATTAATGCAAGAAAAGGAACTAACACATACCTTTCAATTTTCATTCTATCTATCTATCTATAAACTAAAAAAAAAATTCCCCCCACCCCCACCCCTAATCCAAATTCCACCTTTAACTCTCCTCATCCTCCCCCACAAGAAGCCAAAACCACACAGTTGGATTTCACTGCATAATTCACATGAAAGGCTGCTCTTAGTTGATGACAAGACAGGGAATTAAAGGGAAGGGTCTTCACATATAAAAAGGATACTGAAGATGGCCTCTTTTTAGCCATTTGAAATCATTAGTCTTATACATTCTTTGCCAATTGTAGAGTGGGCCTTATCTGTATCCCCCATTATAAAAGCAGCTTTGTATTTATGAAGCAGACAGGGGAGTAAGTGAGTAAAGAAATAGGCAGATTTCCAGTGGTTGGGGGTGTGTTTTTGATTTTGTTATCATAGACCAACCAAAGTATCTTCCAATTTAAAAGGGCCTAACCTATAAACACTTCCTCTGCTACTAGTATTTATTTTTAAGTGAGGTTAGTTCACCTGTAAAGTGCCTCCTGGTAATAAAGGCCAGAGAATTTATTGTGCAGAGACAGCTAAGCAGTACTTTTGTCTTCAATGATGATGGATTTCTTCTATGCATGATGAAAAACATATAGATATAGCCAATCCAATTTAGATGAATCAATTGATGGATGGATAAAGAAGCATTTACCTCTCAGTCAAGAACATTGCAGATTGCCCAACACCCAATCACTCCTCCTCCTTCTTTCTTCCATAAATACACCACAATTCTTGATTTGCTCCACTCTTCTTCTCACAATGGATTCCTCTAAATCTCTTGAAGAATGCAGCAGCTCTGAATCCGGGTGGACGAGGTATATCGCCTCATCCCCCGAACACAACGACGACGATGATGATGATGAAGCTGATGAGGATGATAGAACCACTGGCCATCATCAAGAAGGCCACAAGAAAGATGCAGAAGACGTCGAAAGCGATGATTCGATGGCGTCGGATGCCTCATCTGGTCCAAGCAATCAATATGGAAGCCGTGGATTAGTTCATGCAGGGATGAAAGATGAAAGAAAACATGTTGGCAAGAAACATAGTCAGCAAGAAGAGAAGAAAAAGCAACATAAACAGATAAAGGCAGACAAGGACAAGCATGGGAACAGAGCAAACAGTGCTGGAAGATCCAAGAAAGGATGAGAGAATCACTATCTGCTGTTTTTAACCTTTTCAAGTGAAGAGGTATGAATGCATCATCAACCTTGGTAAATAGATTTTGTAGCTTTATTGTTTTTTCTTTTTTTAAATTGTTATTCCCTGTGTGATGCAATCCTAAGTATGAAACTGTGTCAGGTTTTCCTGATGAATGAATGTCAAAATCATTTCACATGTATGTGATTTTCTTAAACACTGTTCATGTTCCCATTCATATAGGCGCATAAATCCCTGTAGGCATTTTCACAAACACTTGGTGCTCGTGTTTTTGGATTTGAGAAATCAAGCACGTCCACACGTATGATTCAGAGCTTGATTATTCAAATCAAAAGCAGATGCAACCAAATTAGGAACAAATTAAAATAACTTGAAGAAAACTGGACAAATTCGGGTGACAGGTAGGTATGAATAGGATGCTTTTTGTGCATACATGCCCCTAGAATGATAAATCGAAGCACATCACCGCCAATCATATCACACAGCTACACATGAATCAATAATCAGAGACACATGTTGATAACATGCACGAATCCATCAACAATTGCCAAAAGATCACGTCAAGATCAGGCGAAGTTAGTTTAGAATGAATCCGATCAAAATTCTTACAGGACTAGTGAATTCCACACCCTTTCCGTTGTCGTGTAGCGCTTTGCAATTTGCAGGAATGAATCATCAATCGGCTCCACAGAACAGCTCGATGATGGAGACTCAGCCTCCCCTTCTGAACAAGTTCAAGCGAAGGTAAGGTTAATATATTGGGAATCGAAATGCTAAAAGACAAGTAACTAAAACAAAAACGACAATATATATGAACAAATAGGGAAAACGACGAAACGTTCAAATCAAACGAAGTCGACACAAAAAGAGTAGTATTCCATTGAAGAGCTTCACTTGATCTCAAAATGCTTAAATCGATTGATCAATCAGAGATTATTCCGAAACATCATCGATTCGATACAGTTGTTATTGATTGATAACTTTTTCATTTTTGCCTCATCAGTAAGTAAAAACCTAAACGAGGTCAATTAGGGTTCAACTACTTCTGATCGATGATCTACAGTTCTATATTACATGTGATCTCCTCCAGGTCTTTGAAAATGGCGAAGGAATTGCTGTCCTGGAGATCAATCACCATGCGCCGGAGCTCGCCGGCTTCTTCCTTAAGCCTAACGTTTTCCTGCAAAGCACTCCGGTGACTGTTCGACATGTCTCTCAGCTTGTCCACCAGACCATGATTTTCAGTCCTCAGAAGAACGACCTGCGACCACAGCTCATCGAGCCGCCTCTTCTTCCGCATCCGCGACCGCCTGGCGGATTCTCTGTTCGACAACATCCTCCGCCGTTTCCTCTCGTCAATCAGGCCGCCGGCGGCCTGATTGTCCTCTGCCTCGTCGGAAGTTGAATTGTTGCAGAATTCCATGGATGTCTGACTCGGAATCGCCATTGATGGAAATGTAGCGCTGCTGTGGCCTGAATCGAGTGAAAAGATTGGGGGATTTCCGATACAGTCCATGTAGCTTAGCATTTCCTCCATCTCTGAAGGAGCCATGGCCGGCAATGGTGTAAGCTTAACGCCCTGTTTGGTTGAGTTTGTGTAATTGGTAAGGGAAATTCAGAGGAGAGGGATGATAATTTATAGGCCAAAAAGCTTATCCTAAATTTTAGTTTAAAATTAAAAAAAATAAAAAAATAAAAAATTCTATAGCATGCAGATTACACAATTTTATATTTTATTTTTAAACTTTTTAATTTGAGATTTCAGAAAAGTTATTGTTCTAATAGTACTTATACCCTATCAGGATTTTCGAGAATATATGTAATATGCTTTTATGACAACATATTTGTACTTGCATGTTCTCTTAATTAAATTATCATCTTATCTAAATTGTTCTTTACTGCGTTACGTAATAATATTAAAAGATTTATCTGCAAAAAGGCAATGACAATGAGTCTTGATATAATAAATAATATTAAAAAATTTATCTGAAAAAGGCAATGACAATCTTGCAGCCGAACCGACAGTGTAATATATTTCTATATTTTGCTATACTAATTAAATAAAAATATATTGAACAGGAAATATATTTGAATATCAGAATCACACATATTTGGGCACAATCTTAATTAATAAAAATATGATGGGCTGTTTTTAATTAATTAATTAATTAGAGAAGTTTAATTTGGTGAAGAGGACAAAACGTGCACGTAAATATGGACTGGACAGAGGAATTAAATTACTCCCATTACCCTTAACTTCTTTTTTCTTTTTTCTTTTTCTCTCTCTAATTAACGGTGTCTTTTCTTAAATATAATGGGATGGGATTTTGTTGGAATTTATTTATTAATGTAATAATAATATTCGATTATGCTAAATATTTTGGTAATGATGTTTGTGTTACCCATTTCTTTGTTCTTTTTATATGCACTGTCGAATGCTGTAAATTAGTCTAATATTGATATATAATATACTCCCTCTGTAAAAATTCAAACTATTTTTTTTTTTATTTGTCTAATTTCAAAATATCGTTAAAAAAAAAATAATAATTATATACTAATATCAAAACATCGTTAATTTTTACTAAATTACAGATATATGAACCTAAAACTTTACGGTCACTAGTCATCCCACAACACCAGACAATCCCTTATAGGACAATTATATTGTATATATATATATATTTATCTTTTATGATGTGAGAATCGGCGGTCGCTACTCGATAATGAACACCGGGTAAATTCTCGATGGAACATAATACCCTGCAAATTAGACCAGATAAAAAACTATATTGTATATATATATTTTTTAATGACTTGAGAATATGTATTTATCAAAAACCATACAAATTAAATGTCTGATGAATAATTAAATGTGAGCTTTTTTTTTTTTTTTTTTGGATATTAAAGCACGAATTAAGTTATTTTGAGTGAAAATTAAATATTTAATATATTATTGTTAAATATATATGTATATATAATCAAGAATTTATTCAACAAGACGAACATTCCATTTGTTCGAACTCTGCTAGTGTCTGAGTGTTATTTGTAGACTATAATATTTCATTTAGAATTTATTTAGTAAATATTTGAAAAATAATAGCTGCGAGTTTTTATATTAATAAAAAAATAATTATAACAAAAAAAAATAAAATAATAATAATTATAACAATTGAAAAGTTGGTTAAATGAGAAGTCATATAAGTATTTTAGAATATGTACCCAACAAGAATGTGCAAATCCTATGGCTTTTAAAGTGTGATTTGATGGTAATAAAGTTCTTGTGGATTGGATTCAACTCCTAATCTTATTATTTTTTTATATTATTATTTTCCATTTTAAAAATAAATGATAATAAAACAAGGAGATTTTGAAAAGTTTATTTTTAAATCTATGTGTTTCTTTTTTATGAGTTTGAAAAAAATTTGGTTTGAATTTGATATGAAAATAATGTTTGATGAGATGTTTTGTGAGAGGAAAAAATATATTTTTTTGAAAAATGTAGAGTTCAAATAGTAAAATTTGAAAAAATTATGCTAAAGAAACATACGAGTACTCGGTAAAAATTTGTTAAAATTTATACTGATCATTATTACTCAAAAGGTTTAGTATTATTATTCATGTATTTCCTTCATCCATTACTATTTTTTAGATAGTGTCGTTTTTTTTTTTTTTTTTTTTTTGGAAATTTGTTTTAATTTTTTTATTATGTAATTGCTGCGATTTTTTTTATATAGAAATGCAATACTTTATTATATAAATTGCATTTTGATGAAAAATAGTGTTTCGCGCCTATTTTAGAATAAATAAAACATATTTATTACTCTTTTCGTCCCATGTAATATGGGTGTATTACTGTAGACACGAGAATATAGGTGAAGTATAATTAGTAAGTATTCAAGAAGTGTATTACTAAAAATAATTATTATTTAGTAAAAATAATTATAAATTAATATTAAGATAATTAAATAGTTTAATTAAAATTAAAAAAAATTATAAAATTTAAAATGCGATTAAAGTGCATAATTATATTTCCAAAGATAGAAATGACAAGTTACATAGGACGGACGAAAATAAAAAATAGGAACAAATTATGTGGGAGGAAATGAGCATATGTATTTATAATAAAATAGAAATGGATGTTATGTAATTTATTCTTGATTGGTTGTTGTGATTGTCATCCATATTAACTATATAGTCTTCAAATTCTCAATAAAATTCCAACTTGTCTAATTTTATCTATGAAATTCATTACCATTAAAATTTTTATTCAAAAGATTTATGTATATTGTCATTACTTGTGGCTTCTTAAGTTGCAATTGAATTTGTCAAGTCAAATGAAAATTACCATTTTAATGTAAAATCTATCACATTGGATGGAAGCTATCAATAAAAAGGCCTATTAAATTATTTTTAGATGAATGTGTTATGAAAAATTTTGTCCTTAATATAAAAAATAATATTTTATATTGAATTATTGACTTTTATTGATGAATAAAGTTTACATGTTATATATATATGGTAAATAATATTCCATCCGTTTCAAAACTATAGTTTGGGTTGTGTTTGACACGAGATTTAAGGAATATTGATATTATATTGGTAGTGGGTAAAAAGTACGCGTAAAAGACTTTTTTGCCCTTGTGAGTGTATTAGTGTAAAAAGTAGTGACAATTGTGTAATAATAATGAAAAAGTAATGGTAGTTTTATAGTGATACGATTATTTATGGAAATTAGACTATTATTTTGGGATGGAAAAATGGTAAAAAAAAATACCACTACAAGAAAAAATCAGTTTTGTAACAAAATTTTTTTTGTCTCTAAATCTATTTTTTTCGTTACTAATGACATTAGAGACGGAATTAGGAATGGAATTACGTTAGCTACATGAATTTTAGGGACGGAATTTCGTTACAAATATATTATTTTGTTGTAGTGTACTTTAGAGTGTGTTATTTTTATTTTCCGAACCAATACATTTTCCAAAAAAAATACTCCATCCGTCCCACATACCATGTCCACGTTGCCGTTTCTGTCCGTCCCACATACCATGTCACTTTTCTTTTTTGGAAAATGATTATACACTTTAATCTCATTTTAAACTTTTTAATTTATTTTTTAAATTTTAATTAAACTAATTAGTTATCTTAATCTTAATTTATAATTATTTGTATTATATGATAATTATTTTTTCACTAATACATTCTTAATTATCTATTAATTACACCCCTCCTAAAATACCGTGTCTACAGTATAGCAAACACTGTATGTGGGACGGAGGGAGTAATATATTACACCTTTATTATTTTTATACTATTACTACAATTCTTTATATCACACGTAAGAAATACCATTTCATTATTTCACAAAACAAGCGTACTCTTATTTTGATTTTGATTATATTGTATAAAAAAATATTTTATACTGAATTATTAATTTTTTTTGTGTTTCAATTTATTTATTTATTATTTTTTAACATCATATCAAATACTTAAGCAAATATCGTATATATATCTAACAACTACCTTACATTAATATAGATATGTATATATCAAAATTTAAAATACAATATATACATATACACACATATATATCAAAAGAACACGTCATACTATTAATGAATCATAAATATATATATATTAATCAATACTCTCTCCGTATTATATTTATCTATCCATTTACTTTTTGCACATAATTTTAGAAATATTAGTATTATATTAGAATAAAATAAAAATAAAAATAATTAAATTAAATTAATTTTATTAATATTGTATGATATAAAAATACGTCATTTGTGCAATATATTCTAAATTAAAAGAATATTTGTATATTATATATATTTATTTATTTAATGACTTGAAATTTTATTCTATGCATACAATTCTTTTTATTTTCGTAATATATTAATAAATAATTAGGCCGAAGCATGAGTTGGAAGGTTTTGAAACAGGACCTGTGCCTACTTCTTCTTCTTTTCTTTTTTTTTTTTTTTAATAAAAAATTCTTAATTAATACTTTACACATACTTTCCCAATAGGTTAATAAATAATTACATAAATCACTCACCACATATAATATGGGTAGAATCCACGTATAATATTTACGTTCTAATATAAATTATATATATTTATAAAATCTATTTTGTAATATATTTTCATCTTATTACTAAAAATTACACATAATGCTCATAATTTTGCAAATAAATATAGGCAATAGATATGACAAAAATAAATTATATACTTTCTCCGTTCGCCTCTAAAGATCTCATTTTTTACATTTGTATAATTTTTGCACAAATGTCATTACTAATAGTATTATAAGACACTAATATAAATATTTTTGCTTTTTTTTTTCTCCTTAATTTGTACTATATTTTTATGTAATAATTAATATTTAAATATCAATACGCAAAAAATAAATAAGACTCTTAGAGCCGGATGAAAGTAGTATAATTTACTGCATATGGTATTTGAACCAATTTTGCACACATCTATAATAGTCTTATTATCATGAATAATCATATTATTATTATTATAATTTTATTATTATAATAC